AAGCTGAAATCATCGTCATATGGACTGTTCAAAATTAACACAAAAACATCAAACTATACTTGCGGTTACTGTACACTTCTGGTTATACTGCTGGCAAAACTGTCTCACATTTCTTTTCTTTTCTTTTTATTCAGTGCCACAGGAACAAGAGATATGACAGTCACATTAGAAATATCATTAGCTGCCAAAAAAACTTAAGTGCTTTTAAAACATGTTTTCAGCACTTTTAAAATTGGTTTCAAAAGGTTTGTGTGAAGTAATTTATAAAATGTGAGAAATTTGTATTTTCCTAAAAAAAAATGTATAACTGCATAATGCATTGTTCTTTACTCACCAAAATGTCATTGCGGGAAAAAACGCATCAAATACACAAATTTCTATCATGTACTCCAGTTTTCTGTTAATATAGGTTGCTGAATCCTTCCAAAACAATCTTAAGAATATACGTACAATGATAAAACAAATGCAAACGTGTTTCTTTTTATAGTCCACAAAGTTTACACGTATATACAGTGGGTACGGAAAGTATTGAGGTCCAATCAGTATAATCAAACACAGCTTGACTCAAATGAAGGTGTAGAACCATCTCCAGGATGATCAGAAGAAATGGACAGCCCCTGAGTTAAATATATGAGTGTCACAGCAAAGGGTCTGAATACTTAGGACCATGTGATATTTCAGTTTTTCTTTTTTAATAAATCTGCAAAAATGTCAACAATTCTGTGTTTTTCTGTCAATATGGGGTGCTGTGTGTACATTAATGAGGAAAAAAAATTAACTTAAATGATTTTAGCAAATGGCTGCAATATAACAAAGAGTGAAAAATTTAAGGGGGTCTGAATACTTTCCGTACCCACTGTATATGTATATATTTCTTTGTAAACGATGAAACTTTATGTAAAAAAAAAAAAGAAAAGTGTCCCGCATTTTTCATGTCGCTACTGAAACAGTGTATGTTTTAGTCCATTGGCTGAGACTGATTTTAACCACACCCCTAAATTTATGATCAGGAAATATTCCTGTGTCCCCCTCTCTCGCATAACTACATGGTGAATAGAAAGGCCCCATCATTTTGAGGTAAATGTGTTCAAAATTCTGAGAAATCTGTGTGTAACTTTAAGGAACGTCACTACCAAACACTTTTTTCTGCAATTAAGCACGCTTTTTGGAGAGTTATTCCATAACATTTAGTTTTTATATGTGTACAACTGTTCAAAACTGTGCTACCTAACGATGTGCTGATTAGCATCTTTGACCTAGGTTCAAAAGTATCTAAAATTGTCACTACCGAAATCCAGAATCGTGAAGCTCTAATATATTTGACCCTGGACCACACCACAATTTTAACCTTAAACCACATAAACACATTTAATTACACCAAATACATCATATGACTACTTAAAAAAATTATCTAACAAATAAGCTTGATCATGGGCTGGTGATTTTGTGGTATTCTGATACTCAATCAAACTTTGAATTATATGCTTCATATTATATGAATGGAGGGTATATGTTCTTTTGAGCCCAACTCATATTGTACATTTCAAACTATGTGGCAGCACTTTTTGTATTTCCTTAAGTCTGCACAATGAACTCTTATGTAAAGTTTTCCCCATAACAAATATTCCCCCTATATTTTGCCTATGTAAGCCCTATTTTGTTATTATTGTTGTTTATGCTGTTTATACTCATTTGCTTTGTTAAAGTAATTAAACTAATATACAATTCTAATACAATGTTTGTGTGTGTGTGTGTGTGTGTGTGTGTGTGTGTGTGTGTGTGTGTGTGTGTTTTAAACTAATACACACACACACACACACACACACACACACATACATATATGGGCCATTCTACAGAATTGGTGCAAACTACTGTCCCACAACCAAAAAACACATTTAAAAATCATTTAATTGTGTGTGTGTGTGTGTGTGTGTGTGTGTGTGTGTGTGCGTGTGTGTGTGTTTTAAACTAATACACACACACACACACACACACACATACATATATGGGCCATTCTACAGAATTGGTGCAAACTACTGTCCCACAACCAAAAAACACATTTAAAAATCATTTAATTATTCAAATCTTAGATGTTTATTAAGATCCTTCTATTATCTATTGAAACCCACAATAATATTTACAATATTAGTAAGCTTAATATATATAATCAAATAATAATTTATTGGGTACTTTCAATTGGGAGGTGGCTTCCCCGAACCCTAAAACCTAATGTTAACACCTTTCAACTTATTGAAATTATTTTTGTATTTTTTTATTGTTGTTTTTAAAAGTATGTTTTTGGTGCGACAGAGAGTACGGAAAGACTGGAAGCCAGCTGTTAGATGCAGATGGTTCTGAGCCAGCACACAATGCACAGAGCAGGACAGGAAGATAATAAACAAAGTAACGACACATAAGGAGAGAATGCAGGAACGAGAGAAGGATAGAAAGAGATGAATGGCTGCAAAAAGAGACAGAACAGAATGAGTGATCAACCCATCAGGGCGTATGAACTCTCAGCACATCTGTTCAGTGCCCACCGAGGGTGAGCCGTCTGCATTTTCCTTAATCTCTGACACAAATCACAATTAGTTACTCTGATCTCTTAAAGGGCTGAGCTGAGACCTTTTTGTCTGGAATATAAGCAAATCAATACAATACATTATGCATGCCGGGCAGGCAATCTCACTGAGACCTGCCTTGAGCTGTTGAGCTAAATCTGGACTGGGACAGGATATCAGCATGCCCGATGCTTGCTTTCATACGAGAATGCCTTTACTAATCAAAACGATGAATTGTAAGTCCTTCTGTGACTGCTCACATGCTAAAGATTGTAATCAATAGCCGAAAGGCAAAGAGTCGGAGTGGAAGAAAAAAAGAGGCTAGAAAAAAAAAACTCTGGGTGACTCTTCCAAGGAACTCATTTGGAATTTCCATGGATAGGTCTTGATTAAAATGACAATCCCAGCCATCTGGGACAGTGTGCGGGACATTTGGGATCAAGGAAGGAAACTATTCCTCAGAACATTAGGATAACTTTCCATTAAGATGATCTTAGTATGGTTAAGCAGATCATTTTTAATGGGCTTGAAGGAACATTTTATCGCTCAGATATTGCTTTTTCATAACTTAGGCGAGTTAATGGACTTCTTGGTTAGGAATCAACTTTCTCAGATGTTCTGCTAAAACTCCTTACGAGAAATAAAAATAGACACAAATGAGACAACTGTTGACGTACAGAAAGAGTTTAGAGAAAAACAATTGAGTGTGGATAGCATAGCTGTTATAATTCAGTCTTAAATAAATTAATATTTGATTTGAATATTTGTATTTGATGAGAAGGGTCTGAGCATCTGTTTTTTTGAAAGGTTTGGAAAGGTTACTTTGGAAATGTAACAGGTTACAGATTACAAGTTACCCTATTTAAAATGTAATAAGTAGTGTAACTTTTACAATTACTTAAAGTAATGTAACTGATTACATTTGATTACCTTTCTAAATTTCTCATTATTCATTTTCAAACATTTAAACCAGGCAGGGCTAATCTTACAGTAGTACTCAACACTGATTACTGTAAGACTTTCAAAATCCTTCATCACTTAAATTAAGACTATACAAAAATTATTTTAAAGCACAGCCACCACAAAATCAAACTTTAGCGCCTCTTTTTACTTTGAGATCGTTGTGAGGTTAAATACTGATTTAAAATCATAAGATTTTTTTGTTTGTTTTTGAAATCAAATCTTTGCATAGCTATGACTAGGGTTGGGTATCGATTGAGTTTTTTACGATACCGGTGCCAAATCGATACTTTTAAAACTGTACCGGTGCCTAAACGGTGCCTGAACCGATATTTAAAAAAAAAGAGCCACATAAAAAACGATGGATAACATTACAGAACATTAAAAATATAAAAAATAAATATACATAGCATTCACATGCTCCTTGGATGCTCTCATTTCCCGAGTTGTGCTTCCCTTACTCTAAGGCTAATAAATATATTTCACGATCTGGGTCATTATTTAATACAAAACAATATTTAATACAAAACCACACATAATGTTTCTACTGTATCTCTGTCAATCACTCTGATTTTTAGTTAAAATGAGTGAATTGACAGTGCTGTCTGTCACTGTCTTTAATCAGTTCTGTGAATTACTGTATGGTATGCCACATGCACTGTAATATGTTTTATATTAAATATTACATTTTCAAATGAAAATAGCTATATGATCGTTTTATAAAGTATGCGTTCATATGTGTTAAGGGCTAGATTTCCGCTGGAGGAAACAGCTATGGTGTGATGAGCGGTGAACGCAGCGAAAACTTTACAGTAGATGGGAAACCGATTGCTCCCTCGTGACCTTTTGTAAACTGTATTTATGACAAAGAACTGCACAGATACAGATATTATAACAATCTATCGATAAACACACACCTTGTGTCCTATGTTTGAGTCCGCTCGCGCTGCGCCGCCGTGGTTTGTGGAATTGAAGAGCGCGCTGAAAGACGTGGAGGAGACGAAAAGTCTGCCGCCTTTTTCATATGAAATTTAAAGAGGACTGACTCTTGAGGCGATCATGAATTTATGTACAGTTTATGGAGCTAATCGCTATAGCCCCGCTAAAAATGGCCTAGCGACATCCATGTGTCTTACGTCCATTTCAGAGAACAAGGACAAATACAAATACCCGGAGCCGTGTGAGACACTTTTTTATGGATGGGCGCTTTTTATTTAACTTCTTTTGGACTGATGCATGCAACACCTGCTGAGTGGCATTAAACAGCTTGAAAGATCAAAGACAATTTTTTATATAACTCCGACTGGATTCGTCTGAAAGAAGAAAGTCATATACACCTAGGATGACTTGAGGATGAGTAATTTACGGGCTAATTTTCATTTTTGGGTGAACTAACCCTTTAAAGGAATCCCATTTGTGATTTGTCATATACATCTACGAGACTGAATCAGTATTAGAAGCAGCAGACGCCACACTTACCAATGTTGACTTCATCATCCGTTTCTGCGTCACCAATACACTCAAACTGGAACTCCTGTAACGACTGGGAGAACTTCTGCACGGCTGCCGAGAGGTCTAAAAAAAAGATAGAGAGATTTGAACCATGAAAGTGTACACAATCACATGTATCTCCTGCAGAACAGTTTAACAAAACTATCATGGTGCATAAAATATCTTAAGATATGACATTCAATCAAAGACTACAGAAACACATGAACGCTAACTAAGAGATGAAATCAAACTAAAATCAAAGCCACTTGAGTCAAAGGTGTATCCTCTTTTCAACATAACCTTATGGGAGTCTGTATAAAAAGGCAAATACATAATCTTCACTCCGTGCTGAGAGTAAATGAGTTCTCATTTGGAGTGCTAAATGTACATCTCAGTCATCAAGAGTGGGTGGAAAGGACTTGCGCAGGAAATGCTAAGCAACTCAATCAAAAACGGTAATGAGACTGCAGAGAAAAGCAATTTCATCATGCCTTAAAAGAGGTGATAGATCCAACAAAAGCTCTCTGACAAAGAAAACTCTGAAAAGGTTTTCTCATTACTTGTTCCTTAATCTTCTATTTGGAAAAACGCAGGATTGGAAAATGGCTCTTTCAAGCTTAAGAGCATACGATTTGTCAAAAGAGCAATACGTAGGCATTCACAATGTGGCAGGGAGGAATACTAACTTTGCACTTTTTACTGTTGTTTTGGTAAATTTTTCATTGACCATCTATCAAGAAAGGCCATGAGGATGAATTGCAATGCTTATAGACCAGCATTAATATACAGACTGACACTGATCTGCCACAAGGGCGGCTTGTAATTTCAGAAAGATCAAAAGTTGATTCCATACAATTCTCAATCCTATGGCTGCTTTGCTGTTAATTTCAATGCAAGTCTAATTTGGGGCATTATGGCTCGCTTTGGACAAATCTATAAATAGCATTTATAGAGAGGACTGAAACGAGAACATAAGGTTATAGTTGTAATTTGCACTTAATGACTTTAATTTTCTTCCATTTCTGCTTTTTGTGCATCATAGAGGTGCATCAAACAATTTGTGTTCATTTTCTGCCCACTTTTTGACCTAACAAGGTCAATAGCAGACAGAAATAACATTTCTGTAACTTCTGGCTCCTTGAATCTCACTTATCAAACATACATACAGAATGCAGCGCTCAGGGAGGATACAGAGAACACTGCAATCTCACTTATAGTAAACACTGGAACATTCCACTTACAGGGTTCAATTCTAATGGATACAGATTCTATTTGGATAAATTAGCCATGATTCCTAACTAAAGAAAACATTGCAGCAAAGAGCAACAGGATGTGATGTGATTTTTCCCACATCCCATAAAAACAACAGCGCATCATCCACTTCTATAACACTTTTTCCCCTGAGGTCACAATTATAGTCAGTGTTTCTTGCACACAAATCAGTCACAGAAGTTAGAAATTTACTGTGAAATGTACTCTAAAATAGTTTTCATAACCATTTTCTTCCCTTTTTTGGCATTTAAAATTAACTCGGTTGCATCTTCTGCATTTAAGATATACAGAGTTCAGGCATGAAACTCTAGATGGCGCAGTCCGATAGGTCTAACTCAATCTGACCTAATGACATCATTAGCACATGGCACAGCTGATTGGTTCTCTCCTGTATCAGTAGCCAATGAGCTCGCTGCTCAACATTCAAATATATGACTAGTGCTTGCCTATATAAGAAAACAAAATGAAAATCAATTAAATGCAAAGAAAAACTAGAAATTCGAAGTTTGTCAAAAAAAACGTTGTAATGTTTGAAACGTGACATATATAGAAATGTGCATTGAGTTTTCATTTTTTCAGTTATGAAATAAATTAACACTTCCAGAAGGCACTATCTGTGTTGAATCTTTTGAATTAAATTTATCTTCCTGTCATTCCAATTCAACATCTTATGGGGTGTGGCCAATTCAAATAAAATTCATGATTTGAAAGGGTGCTAATATTTCAAAGGGATAATTCACCCCAAAACGAATAATTTACTCACACTCAAGTAGTTCCAAACCTGTATGAGTTTCTATCTTCTGCTGAACACAAAAGATGATACTGTGAAGAACATGGGTCATCAAACAGTCGCTGATCTCCTTTGATTTCCATAGTATGGACAAAATAAGTAAATAAATAAAAACATACTATGGAAGTCAATGGGGACCAGTTTTGCCCAAGCGTGACAGCAACAAACTAAACCCCTCATAACACCTTATAACTGCAGAGCAGTGCCCTGAAAAAACATGTACTACACAAGAAAATGCTTAAGTCTAGTCATAGCTTCTAACTGAGATAAACACAGGAATTTAATCCAGTATAAGGTTTGATCTGTGGCCTTATGCTTCGCCCAAGCACTGAGAGTGCATAACAAGGTTATCCACCGATGTGTTGAGTGAGCATGTATATCATCTCATGCCATGCACCAGCTCTGAGACTCCAGGGTGCTGGTCAATAATCTGTTTGAGATGTGAGTCTGCTCAGTCAAGCTGAATGAGTCCCATCAATAATGCAGCGCCCTTCACCTCTCGTACCGACAGACAGCATCACCACTGCAGCGCTGATCCACAACCACAGTACTTTCCTAAAACCTTCACTGAGAGCATTAATGTCTAATAGGCCTGGCTTTTCTCAAGATCAGAGGTTGAATAAAACGCAAGCGGGTGTCTTCAAGGGGAGAAGGGGGAGGACACCTGCTGCTGTCCAATCGGAAACACCTGTAAAGTCACACCTCTGCCACTGAGGTCTCCATTGTGGGCATTTTGCTTCCTTTTCCCTCCTGTATTACCTCAGCTCTCCAAACTGTCTCCTTATCTCTATAGATAATGGCTTGTAGATCTGCTGTCCATCTCCACAGAGCTGTCACTTTGAGACACGGTTTTGGAGCACACTGCCTTATAAATAACCTTAAGACTAACATATTGATACTAACACCCAAAAAACTTTAATTCTGATTTCATGGGGACTTTAAGCTTTTTTTTGGGTGGGGAGATTGGATATCGGATCCATACTTAAAGCACACCTACATGCAATGCTGCCTAAGACTTTGACCCAAACTAGTAATGTTCTGCGGCGCATAATTTTGCTAGACGTTTTTGAACAGCTTTTGTGTCAGAACCACACCTATGATGCCTAAAGATGTTCCCTAGGTAGGCATCGCAATGGGTTTTGAAACACAACTCTTGATTCAGACATCTGGTGTAATGAACACACTGCCAAGAGTAACACAGCCAGTAAGAACGAGTACAAAATTTTACATATGTAAGTTCACACTGGGTTTTAATAATAAATCAGTAAGAATAAGATGGAATACTGGATTCAAAAAGGCTGACAGAGTAGTGTGAGCTGTCACAAAGCATTACACACTCAAACTGACTCGCAAAAGCTGCAAGTGAACATAGAACCAGCTGGAACCACTCCCTATAACACACATACTAAGAGACACTATGTGTCATTACCTCCCAAGTTTCAGGGGTAGAACCAAAAAAAAACATTCCCCTACAAGACAATACAAGCTCAAAGGGCAAAACTAGATAGTAGAGGAGCATGTTCAGAGGACATTTCTTAAAAGGTCACATACATCCACCCTGCTGCCTCTCAGACCTTGCAAGATTTATTTTCTTTTGCCTGTTACTTCATTTTCTCTCTCTTACATTCACTCTCATTTAAGAAATAGTTCACTCAAAACTGAAAATTCAGTCATTATTTACTCGCCCTCATGCCATTTCAAACTCGTATGGTAATTTTTCATTTTTATGGAACATAGAGAATTTTGGAAAAATATTCACTTGCTTCTTTCATACAATATTCATAGACTAGTCTTTCCAAAAAAGAAGAAAATAAAATTGTTGGGAGAAACATGTTAAAAAAAAAATTGGTGGGCATTAACTATGCCATTGATAATGTGTTATTTGTTAAATAACAACATATCCAGTTACTTTGTCAACTAAGTAACATTTTATAAAACAAAATAAATATATAAATACATTGATTTAAAAAAATGTATGTTTGGAGAAATAAGGGTATATATAAGATTTACAAGCAAGTTTTTTTGTGTGCGTGAACATGATTGGCTTTGTGTTTTACCAAAATTAGCACTTCTAATGTAAAACATTTTTTTAAATTTAATTTCAGTTAAAGTTTATTTTATTTCAAGTAATGATTTTATTTATTTTTATGTTTTAATTTTAGTTCATGATAATATTCCTGGTGGAGATGATGCATTCTGATGCCATAATATCGATTTGTTTGAGGAACAACCCAAAATGTAAGTACTTATTCAGAAATATACAAAAATATATCATGGTTGTGATGGGAGATCATCATATGGCCTCAGAAGACTTGGAATATAACACATGGATGTCATACTACTTTAATGGTGCTTTTCTGTGTTTTTTGGAGCTTGACAGACTTGTCACTGTGAACTGTCACTGTATGTAAAAGAGTTGTGTGAAAATCTCTTTGTATTCTACAAAAAATAACAGTACAAGTACTTGGAATAACATGAGGGAAAGTAAATAATGACAGAATTTTTTATATTTTGTGTGAACTATCCTTTTAAACATGATCCAATGTGTACAGAACATGCATGTCGCCACTTAGCAACATTCCTGTTATGACATTAACAAGCACAATGCATCTGGCGTGTAATATTGTAGCGAGTGTAATTACAGGGCATGCTGTGGAACCTGGCAGCAGAGGCAGCGTGCACACATGACGGGCTTCTAGTCTGCTTTTATCACAGGTTTCATCTGATGTCACACCTCCACACAGCCTGCCATGGAAGAGTGCCTCCATAGCTCACTGCCTGTTAGGGAAAGGACATTTCCTCCGGCCCTGCTACAACAACAAGCCATAAGAGACAGTGACGGTACTTGTGTTTAATAGTGTGTTGCAGATAGTGGGTGGCTGCGTGTATGTGTATATGTTTTTTTATGTGTATGTGTGGGTGTGTAGAAAAAAGGCATTTCAGTTCTGTCTTCACATTCCATCGGTTGGAATACAGTCAATAATGAGGCAAATCACATCTTTTATAGTGATAATATGATATC